GTGAAGCTGGGATGACAACAGCATGATGCATTAAGCTTTGAGTGCTACAGGAGCAGGGCTGTCTGCAGCAGGGAGAAGAAGTGCTGATGGGGAAAGCAGCATGCCCAAGAATGGAGACCAGCTTGAAAAAGACCAGACTACAAACGGAGAGCCGGGACCAGGACTGGGACCTAGTGTTCTTACCTGGGTCAGTCCTCCCCCTCCTCTGGCGTGATCTCTGTCTCTTTATGAACCACTACTTTGGTCACTGACATGTCAGGATGCTGTTCTTTAGCCTCCTTTATGGCCTGAGCCAGAGCCTACATACAGGGGGGGGGGAGGGTGCAGTGCCAGAAGGGGTCACCAGGGGGAGACAGAAAATGGGGAAGGCGGGAGGGAGGGAGCGGGGATGTTTGATTGTGAGTCAATATGCCAACAGGGAAGCCACTTTTAGTTACATTTGTCATACTTCATTATTTGTTAATGTCACATCACAAGTTAATGTTTTGTCGGAGTACGGTACTGTGCTCGCAAAGTATAAGATAACGTCCTGAGGGCTCACGGACATTTTACTAACATATTTCTTGCTTGAGTCCTCTTATTGACTGAGAAATACAGTAAAGATACAGAAGCATAAAGGAGGAACGTCATGGAAACTGACTGACCTCATCGTGGTCGATGTCTGAGTCTCCCGTGATGACGATCCTTTTCTCAATTCTCGTCTCCGATATTCCTCCTTTCACCATCTGGACAAGAGAGAGGAGAAAGACCACTTTAAAAATCAATGTATACATAAAAGATATGGAAACAAATATCATCGTTAAGCCTCATTAAACGAAGTTAAGTAGTACTACAATGCTATACTTTTCAAGTCTTAAATCCTTGACTTCAGGAGGGTTATGTGTCAATAAATAATATGATGGTTGATTGAAAGAAAAGATAATGTGGGACTTTTGTGTAATTCATTCAAAGATCGGTTAAGTAGTTTAAAAGCAAACTGGTTGCAGCAATTGAGAATATATTTTTGGTTTTCCTATCTACCTTTAGCTTCTTTACTTTTTGACGGAAAGGAAAGTATTGTAGGAGTGATCTTGAGAACTTATAGCCGGTATTTTAAAATATTTTCCGATGATTGTAGGAGAAACAAATCAGCAATAAAAGGACGTTTATTTCTGGTTATTTCCCCAACTTTAATACGGACGTCTCAGGGGGCTGACAATGTGTCTCAAAGAGCACACACACTGCAGTCGTGTTTGCGGATTCAAGTGTGAAGACACCAGGAGGGACAATAGATGACCTCTGACCTTTGTGATGTGTGTGGTTGTCGTGGTGCTAGTGGTTTCCGAGGTGATGGTCTGAGCACTCAGCAACACCCCAGGGTCTACGTCACCGTTAGTTTCACCCTGTTGATAAGACAAACACTCATTTTATATTTATACTCCAGATAAACAAACTACCGTACTATCTACTACAATCAGCGTATTGAATAGCCCGCGTTAAGGAGCCACTACAGGAAAGGGGCAACAGAGCATGAGAGGCCCTCTTTAATATTATACAAACATTGTTTGTTGTCTATTCTGAATGTTTTGATGGCACTTTAAAAAGAGTAGCTTTTCTCTTCTCGTTGTACTTGTATAATGACAATAAATGCTTTTATTCTATTCTAGTAAACAGTAAAAGTGAATATTCAACTGACGATACATTCAACAGCACACAAACATGACTTTAACTTAATGCTTATGCTATATGTATACGCAATTCATACGAAATCAATGATTGTTTCAGGGCAAATCAGATACTATTCTTTAATTAAGTTAATGTCAAATGACAGTAGCTTTAATTTCGTACCTCTGCAGACTCATAGGTGATAGTTTTTGTCTCTGTGTGGACAACAGGCACCTCTTTGGTTCCCACCTCGACGACATCGAGACTCTGATGAGCAAAAAGGGAAAAGCCGGGCACAAATGAATGCATGCACAGGGGGTAGAGCGGCACCAAAACCATCTGTGCTTATTTAGCCGTCATGTCTGACACAAAGTGTTGCTGTAGGTGTTCACTGTACGCCTTTGTACTAAAAATATCCCCACACTGTTATACAATAAATTCAATTGACAGAAATAAAAGCCGCATGCTATTGAAGTCAGCCAAAGGCCATCATTGAAGGGCTTACACCTCTAAACGAGCATGCAGTCATGCATTAGTCCCTGACCCAGTGAAGGAGTGGATGCTGGAGAATGCAAATCACAAGGTTTCGATCAAGAGTGAGCACCACATGATATTAGCAGGTCCCCCGAACAAACTATGAAGTCAGACGGGTATATCCATGCTTTTTGGTCGAGTTTTGGCCGTGATTATTAATAGCAGATTGTGCCGGCAGGAGGGGAAGGTGGAGGTGAAGTTACAGGAGGTGGCTGAGCTGGAGCTGAAGCAGCGTTACCTCCCACTGGGACACGGCTGGCGGAGGCACGTCGTGTGGGCGGGGCTCCTGCTCTGGTTCCTCTGATTCACGATTCTTCAATACGTCAGCTTCATCTATTTCTTCTGGCGTCACGGTGTCTTCTCTTACTTCTGAAAGCCTTTCATCATCACAGCCGTCTGCCGGTTTCACATTCAGCTCTTCTTCATGTTCCTCTTCCATCTCTTCCTCTTCTGTTCCCTCCATGTCCTCTTCCGAGCTGTCCGCCTGTGCGTAGTGGAATTTCTCTTTTTCAAAGGACAGCGTTTTCACGATGTCTGGAAACATCTCTCGTGCTTCCTCCTGTGCACGTGAACATTCATCCTTCTCTTCATCCACTTCCTCAGCACCATTGTCTACATCTGTTGGGAGCTTGTCTTCCTCGAAGTACTGCACTTCATTGGAGAACTTGACTCTCTTGCCATCTACTTCTGTGTGCTTTCCCTCCCGTTCATTTTTACTTTCTAACTCTTCTTCCAAAGCCTCCAAACTACTTTCTGCTTCATCGGGTTCGTCCTCTTTCAAGGTCAGTTTCTCTTCTTTTTCGAAATCTCTGAAGTAGACAGGAGCCACAACAAATCTGAATCTATCGTTTTCCTGATTTGACATCGACGCCTCCTCCTCTAAGACTTCCTCATTTCCCTTTTCTTCCGCTAAGGTCGGCTCTGGAGACTCTGTTGAAGCCCTGCTGCCACAAACACTCTCATCTAACCCTACATGTGCTGCCTCTGTCTGATTTCCTGCCACCAGCTGGAAATCAGTGCTTGAAATATCTTTTTTTCCCGGTGCATCTTCCAGACCATAGTCACTAATATCATCGTGCAACACAACTACATCATCTCCCTCCCCCTCGGCTGTAGTTTGCTCTGCCTCTGAGGTCTGGATATTCACCGTTGGCCCCGTCGACTCGGCTGGTGCTGCCTCCGTCTCCGTGGCAACGACCGCCTCCTCCTGCGGTTTAGCGGATGTCTGTGAATGATAATTGAACCATTAGATTATGTTCTTGCTCCACTGTGACAAAAATAAAACCCATACAGTACACAGGGCTGGTTTCACATCTCACCTGATAGGGAAAAGGGTTAAGTGGGTTATTAGGGATGTAACAATACGCATGATTGGATATAACTCGAGATACTGGGTTCACTGGGTTTGTGATTTTCTCACAAATGTGTTTTACACAATGAGATTGAAGACTGAAAATGAGACACACCTACAGAATCTAGTACTATATTTTCTTCAAATTATAGAACATCCTTTTGTTTTTGAGGTAGAACTATGCAAAGTAAAAAATGTTTTCTTTGTTAAAGTGAAAATATATTTTTTCTGTAACATAAAAAAAACTAGATTGCAAATTTGTGTAGTTTATTTTCTGATTAATCGAAACTAAAATGCTGCCAAATGTCCCAATTAAAACATGATGGCACATCCTCAATTTATACATCTACCTGCATACTCTCATCTCATCTTGATACAGATGGCCTGATGAAACAAGTCAAAAGAAAAACCATTAACATTTGAGTTGATTTGAATCGTTGCATATTTGTATTGCAAATTGATTGTCTTCGTTACATTCCTTTGTATTTTACATTTTCAGAATTGTACTTTAAATTGACACACAATAGGCACACATATTTAAAGACAATTAAAGTTTCAGTTACACAAAAAAACAATGCAGTGTAAAAATCTGCGAGGACCAGAGAGGAGGGGTCACCTTTTCGGAGTAGGAAACCCATCCCAGCGTAGACTGACGGTACAGAGGGATGGACACAAACAGAGACAGGAATAGAGAGGACAGTCAAAAGTCACAGTGAACACCAGACACAGAGCAAAATGAACGAGGGTGGAGAAATAAAGGGTTGGAAAAAGGGAATATTATGGATTGTATGGAATACCGGTGTTTAACAGCAAATATCCTCTAATCTGCTTTTGAAAAATAAGTCAGGTAGACCCTAGGGCTGCTCGATTATGGCAAAAATCATAATCTCGATTATTTGGGTCAATAATTGTAATTGCGATTATTAAATGCGATTATTCATTGACTTTGAAAACATCCATTTATTGGAGAAAAAAATGTTGAACTGTATGTTTTTAACAGTTGATTGCCCTGAACTTTAAGTATAATTCAACTGAAAAACCAAAAAAAAAAAATATTATTTAAAAAAAAAAAAAAAGTAATAATAATAATAAAAAGATAATCGTTTTATTTCCGATTACCGTTGTTTTCGTTAATCGTGGCAGAGCCATAATCGTAAATCGGCGATTAAAATACGGATTAAGGTTGGGCAGCCCTGTAGATAGACCCATACAATGTGTATTCTGACATGTTTTAGAGGGGGCAGAGGCGTTTTGTGGAAGATGAGGTGCGCGGGAAAGCTGCCGCGATGGCACTTAGCAAGAGCTATTGAGTCACTGCTTTTCAGCAACAGATAAGAGCTGGAAAGAAAGGGAAATGGTGCAGCGGAGCAAAAACTGTGGCGAAACAAAACCCATTTTTTTCCCTTATCAGCTGCGGGGAGCCAGCTGCTTGAGCAAGGCGAGCTGTTTTTTAGCTGTCAACACAAACTCCAAAACAAACCCAAAACAAAAGAAGGCAGCGGCCCGGATTGCAACAGAAACCCGGCGGTCCCTCTGGTGGCGAGAGGTAAACGCTGGGTGTTAAGGGTTAGCCCATGGCAGAGCGTTTGGTTACACTGTGTTGGGTTCTGGGTTTGGCCTGCTGCTGGGGGAAGGCAATGGGGAGGCAAGTGAGGGAGGTGTTTGTGGTTGGAGAGATGGGAGGGGGGCCAGCCAAACCCACGTTGGTTGTTTTTTGGTTTTATACAGTACCACTGCAAGGACGTAGAGAGGTGTGGTGGTGTTTCCGAAATGGTAATCAGGCGGACTGTGTAGACGGCTTCCGTTTTGGCCCTCTTCGAGAGAAGGAAGTCAGTGTTGTGCTCGTGCTCCGGCTTCGTGGTCCTGCTTCTCGTGTAGAGACTCTGTTGCCGCGTTTGGCTTCTTCGAAGAACTCTGCTTTTCGTTTGGATCTCTTGAAGGACTTTGACTGCTCTGTTTGGGTTCTTCCGAACGGAAATCTGTCTGCTCCGTTTCGACCTCTTCGAAGAAGCTGCTGTTATTGTGTGTTTGCTTGTCTTCGAAGAAATGCTGTACTGCTCCGTTTGACTGTGCTTCGAGTGAGATGTGTTGTGTGGCTGCTTAGTTTCGACCTGCTTCGAAGAACCTCTGACTTCTTATTGGGCCTTTTGAAGAACTTGACTTCTT